TATGCAGTGGTCTTGAAGCAGCAGCACAGCAGGTTGAGGAGGCTGCCCGGTACATAAAAAAGAACGGTGGGTTGTGGATGTCTAGATAGAGTAGTATTTTACATCTATGGCTGCTGTATCCAACATTGCTCATTGTTTTATGAAACAACCGATACAATTTGGAGATCTTTTTTTATACTGCACTTTTTTATTGGAAATTTTGTTTTCATGCCACATAACTTGATCATTATCTCCTTCCAACGCTGCTTCCTGCCTATCCACCCACCCAACTTCATGCCTTTTCTTTCTTTAGAAAACAAATAGGCAAACCAACCAAAACATAATAATAAAGAAGAAAAAATTTAAAAATGCACACACATAATCCATAAAAACACAAAGTCAGAAAACATATTTTACAAGCAAAAGGCTAAGAAGACAAAAATTTCCTAAAGCTATATGAGACCAAGTCTACAGAAATAGCACTGAGTTTGTTTGCTCTGTTGGTCACCTACTGCTGGGGGTGGTTTAAGTGTGGTTAATACAGGCAGTGAGACTCCATATGAGAACTAATTTCCTTTGCAAGCAGATGCAGATTAGATATAGCTTCTTGGTTAGGGATGGGAGCTTTTGTCCACTTTCTCCTCTCAGCACTGAGACTCTGTCTGGCTTGAACTTGTGCTGGCTTTGTGCATGCTGCCACAGTCTCTGTGAGTTTATGTGTGCATCAGTCCTGTGTGTCTGGAAGACACTGTTTTCTTGGAGTCATCCATCTTTCCTGGCACTTACAGTCTTTCTACCTCCTCTTCTACATAGTTCTCAGATCCCTGAGGGGAGAGGTTTGATGAAGACATAACATTTGGGACTGAGTGTTCCAAAATCTCTCACTTTCTGCATATTATCTAGTTGTGTGCTATATTGGATTTTCTTATGGCCAGTACATTTATTATTGTTTTTCTTTTTAAATTTCTCTTTTTAGTTTTAATTCTTTTCCTTTTTTGAAAATAGATTTTTCTCTAATAATATATTCTGATTATGATTTCTCCTCTCTCTACTCCTCCTAGCCCCTCCTTACTTCCCATTGCATCTGGATCCACCCCCTTTGTCTCCTCATTAGAAAACATACAGACTTCTGTGGTCTAATATAAAATACAACATAAAAAGTTAAAACAAAACCAAACACATTGGAATTTGATAAAACAAATAAACAAAGGAAAAAGAGTCCAAGAGAAGGCATAAGAAACAGAGACCCCACTCATTCATATATTCTGGAATCCTATGAAAACTAAACTGGAAGCCACAATATGTATACAGAGGACCCATAGGGTAAAAAGAGGGAAGAAAAAATATTGAATTAAAAAATATGATAAGAAAATTTTGTTCGGCATTGGTGGCGCATGCCTTTAATCCCAGCACTTGGGAGGCAGAGGCAGGCAGATCTCTGTGAGTTCAAGGCCAGCGTGGGCTCCAGAGAGAGTGCCAGGATAGGCTCCAAAGCTACACAGAGAAACCCTGTCTTGAAAACATCAAAAAAAAATATGATAAGAAAATTTAAAAAGAAAGAGCCCTGACACATTATGAGATAAGAACCCTCCATAGATGCCATTGAGTTCATTTTCTGCTGTTCATCTACTGTTGAGCATGCAGCCTACACCTGAGTAGTGTGTTTCCCAGTGAGAATCTTTTCTTTTCTTTTTTGTGCTTTAAAACATTTTTTATTTAAATTCTTTAATTACTACTCATATTTACATATTCACCCCCCATTCCCTTGTCCTCCCATCCTCCCATGTTCCTCACCAACCCCCCAACCCACCCCCAACTCCTCCCCAGGGATAGTGAGGCCCTCCACCAGGGATCTTCAGTCTGTCATATCATTTGGGGGAGGGCCTAGGCCCTCCATGTTGTATCTGGGCTGCAATAGTATCCCTCCATAGGGAATGAGCTCCCAAAGTCCATTTGTGCTCTAGGGTTAAAGACTGGCTCCACTGTTAGAGGTCCCATAGACTGTCTTGGCCTTCTAGCTGGCACCCACATCCAGAGGGCTTGGTTCGGTCCAATGCTGGTTCCCCAGCTTTATAACTAGGGTCTCCATGCTCTCACTAGGTCAGGTCAACTGTTTCTGCAGGTTTCTGCAGCACCATCTTGGGAGGAGGGATGAGCAAAGGAGCCGAGACTCTTTTCTAATGTTTTCTTTTTCTAGCTCCTTAGCCAAGACCTTGTGACATTTGGAATAGATGGCAGTAGATCCTTAGAAATCATTTACATTCTCTTTAAAATGTTTATATGTAACTATAGCCTTTGACTTTCTTAGATTTAGAAAATATCAAGATGAACAATGAAAGAGTTTGAATAAAGTCATCATTGAGGGCAGAAAAAGACTCTTAAGAACTAGAGGCTGAATGAAAATCTTAATGCTAGAGCCAGGTTACTATTCTACTAATTGTTGACCAGGGAGGCCCCTAAGGGTCTACAAACCATAAAGGCTGTTGCCACCACTATTGGTTACAGTATAAAACCAGGTGGCAAAGTCTATGTTGTTGAAGATATTGCATGCTTTTGCTTCAGGATGTGGAGAGATCAAGTTGAGACCAAGCTGGAAGTTCTCACCTATTTACTGTCTTTCCTTAGTGACAAGAAGCACTATGTAAGCTACTGAGGGAGAATTGTTACCAATAATCATTTTCCAATATGGACTCTGTTTACTATAAATACCAGCTTTCCTGGGATGATGTGCCTGCTAGTGCAATAGTAACAAGACTGTTATGGTCTAATATATTGCTTTTGTTTGGAAGGAAAAGCCAAAAGCCAGTGACTGGGAAGCTCAGTGCTATTATGTGATAATTAGGCATGGTATTCCTGCCAAATAGCACCCCAAATACTTATGCTTAGGTTCATACAAATATTTATACTTAGGTTCACAGATGATCCCACACCCAGTCAAGTTAAAGTAAAGGAATTGTAAAAGGCATAAAACTAAAGCAGAGTTGTCATGTCACTTCAGAAAGCTGAAGTGGGACTGTCATGGCTGAGTGGCTGAGTGTTGCCATTGCAAACCTTTTTGTAACAAGTTCCTGTCCAAGGAATTGCCTAGCACTTGCGCTGGCAGAGGGAATAATGAGTGTTCTGAACTTGCCCATGTTTACTTCTCTTTTATCTAAAATCCATGTTCTAATAATTCTTTTTTAAAAGATTTTATTTATATGTATACACTCTTGTGCCTGCATGCCAGCAGAGGGCACCAGATCTCATTCAAGGTGGTTGTGAGCCACCATGTGGTTGCTGGGAATTGAACTCAGGACCTCTGGAAAAATAGCCAGTGCTCTTAACCGCTAAGCCATCTCTCCAGCCACCTAATAATTCTTTTTAAAAAATGTTTATTTTCTTTATTTATTCTCTCTCTCTCTCTCTCTCTCTCTCTCTCTCTCTCTCTCTCTCTCTCTCTCTCTCTTTCTCTCTCTCTCTGTGTGTGTGTGTGTGTGTGTGTGACATCATGGGTGTGCAAGTTTGAGTGAGATTGTTCAAGCATTTACAAAATGGTTCCCTTCAATGCCCTTGGTGTTCTCTAGACATCCAACAGAGCTGAGGACAGGTATGTAATTACTTAGGCCCACAATTTTGCATAAGATTTGAAAAACAAAAAGTCCAGTAAATCAAATGCAGAGGATACATGGGTATCCAAGGCCCCCAGGGACAGTCACCTGGAGTCTTTTTATGTAGCTGACAGTAGCATGCTTTATATGCAGCCTGACTTAATAAACTTGGCCTATTACTTAGGGTAGGAACTTGCTTTTTTTTTTTTTTTTTTTTTTTTTTTTTTTTTTTTTTTTTTGAAGACTTAGTCTTCAGAAGGAGGTTTGCTAGGTCAGACATTGAGACCAATTCTGGGATCAGGTGTAGTGACAGGGAGGTATCTAGAAAGGGCCCTGTATGCAGTATCACTTTTTAAAATTCTGTAGAGTAATACTGCCTGTAGAGAGAAGTAGTGGCAGATGTGAAAGAGAAATTACACCACTGGGATGGTCTTTGACTCTGGGGACTCTTCTCTACTTCTCTCTGTTTTAAGATGATTAGTGGATTGATTTTATTTAAACTCTAGGAAACAAGAGAAACCATTAAGTGTTTATTTTGAAAGCAAACACATTAATAAAAGAAGAACAGCTTTCTGTGGGGCACCTGGCTTGCCCCCAGCCCATAAATGCTCCTTCTGACTTTCCAACACAACTGCCAACTCAGTCTCCACACATTCTTTCAGAATGTCTTTTTTCCTTTCAAATCTACTTTGTACTATCATTATGGTCTTGTTAAAACTACACAGCATGCAAAGAAATTTGCTATATAGATTTTCCCTTTAGTGAGAAGAAGTTGTGGAGGAAGTATATAATAGCATTTCTAGTCAGTATTCCTCAGGGAGATAGACTAAAGAAAAAGAGTGACACTTTTGCAGTAAGAAGATATTTTAATTTGATGTTCTTTGAATGGTTAGAATTTGGACCAATACATGTACTTTCCCTTTATTTTTTGCATCTTAGACAAAATCCTGAATAGGGCTACTGGGATAGATTATATCATTTTGTTAATATGTGGAACAAATAAGTTTGTGTCCCTAAGATATATGTTGACTGTAAGTTTATGTAAATGAACATAGGCACTTATGGTTTTTGTTGTTAGAATTAGGCTAGTGTTATCTAGTTTGGGAACTTTGTCCATGTACCTCTAGATAAGACTTTCTGAAGATTTGATAACTTATCTTTATTCATACATATATGACATTATGGACATCTGATGACTTCTATGTGATTCCATATTTAGGCATATATGAATAAATATAGGAAAGCACTCTCATATAATTTACAAGACCCATTCACCAATATGATTCCTGCAACTCTATGTTGCTACTTCCCTCTGCTTGTAGAGAGGTGTGAAGACAAGAAAAGAAGGTATAGGCAGATCCTGAATTCTGCAACTTACCAGGACCTAAAGGTATGTGAAAACTTTTGAATTATACCTATTGTTTTTCCTTTTAGATCTTGAATTTGCCTGAGTTGATTGATGATTCCAAGTATAAAACAAACCATCTTCGGGTGCAGAATAGAAAAGAGCTTGTTAAAATCCTATCTTCACGGTAAGCACCCAATGCCTAAATGAATTATCTGATTCTCATTAGGAGAGGCTTTGCAGGCCCTCCCTCTTATCTCTCAATCCTCAAATTGATTAATTAAAAGGCATCTTTTTTTGTTTTGTTTTTTGTTTTTTGGAGACAGGGTTTCTCTGTGTAGCTTTGGAGCCTATGCTGGCACTCGCTCTGGAGACCAGGCTGGCCTCGAACTCACAGAGATCCGCCTGTTTCTGCCTCCTGAGTGCTGGGATTAAAGGCGTGCACCACCAGCACCCAGTTTGAAAAAAACATCTTAAAATAGTTTGTTGTTGCTAAAAAACAAAACATTTGAAAGCATTTAAATGTTTTATTAAATAGCAAATCCAAACAATGGTGTAAACAAAGTCAAGTGACTTCAACTAGGTTTCTTCTTTGTGGTATGTTTTTAACTGTTTGGATTTTGCACATCATAAATTGTTAGCAACAAGCACAATAAGAATTTAACATTAATTGTACTTTCACTGTGTAAAATGCTGTGTATGTCATCTCATTTAACTCTTATCTTCATCCTATGAAGTAGGTCCTGTTGGTCCCATTTTACAGATAAGTAAACCCAAATATGAGGAGGTGAAACTGAGTTCTTTAGATTTTCTGAGCCCTTGGTGTGAATGAGTTATTGTGATGGGAAATGCTAGTTTAAGTAATGAGTCATCAAAGAGTCGTATTAATTGAGTGATTTCTAAATTTCCATTCATGTCAGATTGTACTTGTGGAAAAACGTATACCAATATTTTAATTCTGCATAAAGAAATAATGTTACTCTTCCTTTCAAATTGTTTTCTTCTAAATTTCTCAGTCTGTAGGAATAATTGCCATGGGTTTTGTAGCTCCAAATGCCTGCATGTGTTGCCATCCAGTGTTGAAAATTTGCTTTTGTCATGCCAATGACTTAAGGCTTTGTTCAAATGCCCATGTTATTCCGTATAATATAAACTGATTCTTAGAAAGTTAAGTCATACTTACATTACTTTTATTTCTTTGTCTTGCATTTTGAGACCTTTCCAAGGAATTCTGGATATTCATTTACTCATTTGTTCTTGGATTTTAAACACTGCTCTACACTGCATGTCTTCCGTGTGTCAAATACTCTTTGTGTCAATGGAGGATCTGTGTGTGGGACCAATGCACACAAAGTACGAGAATGAAAAATGGGTGCCCCTTTCCTTATCAATAGTTGAATATAATTCTGATTCTACTGCAAAGCCTCACAGCCCTAACGATTAACCTTTCTCCACATGAAAATTACCCATTCATTTCTACATTTTGCCCCTTTGTCTCTTAAGCATTTTTAATTCATTGATAGGATTTTCCCTTTCACACCATAATTACCAAATCTCAATAATAGGGACTTGTGAGAACCTTATCAAAAGCTCTTTGATGGACTAAAAAATCATGTCCATGCTGTGAGAAGAGTGGATCCCAAGCAAAATAAATCCAGGCAGATACAAGTATCATCTTGTTATTAAATTCCCAGCATTTTGATAGCAGTGGTGTTTCCTGTGCCCTAAAACTCTGATTCCTTGTTTAGTTCAGTTATAGAATTCTATTGTGGAAAGACTTTAAGCAGACTTTGCTAGAGATAAAAACTTTTCCTTTTAATATGAATCAATTAGCATTTCACTGACACACCCATGTGTAAAAATTTAAGCATTTTGAACTCTTAGGGTTATTATTTTTCTGCTTAGCAGATTCAAGAAAGATTAAGGAAGCATGGTGAAAGGAAGAATCTAAGTATGGTTACAGAGAGGAACTTTGATTGGAAATTCTTAGGGTCCTTGCATTTTTTTAAGGCTGGGTTTCATGCTCTCTTAGTGTCTTGACTTTGTTTTTTTGTTGTTGTTGCTGTTATTTTTTTACGATTTTTATTATCTTCAATACTTTCAATACTTTCTCATCCAGGGTATGTCAAATAGTGGGGAGGAGGGAAGAACAGCATATTTACTGATTCCTGCCTAAAAACACATCCTTTGTCTCTCTGAACAAGTACTCTGGGCGCATTAATGTTATTAGTGGCTAGCTTTCTGAAGTCTTTACAAATGCCTTGAAATTTACCATTCCCATCATATGATCTACATTTTTCCAGTATTGTAAAATTTCAGAGGCTTTCCACAATTTATAGGCCTAAGCCCAGTATGTTCAGTTTAAAACCTTGGGTCATTCATAGTCTGACATCATTGAAATTTTCGCAGTTTCCTAACCTATTTCAGTTAGAGGCCCCTGGTCTAGCCATACTCCCATCTTATGTCTTATGTCTTATTTCCAGAATTAACATTATCCTGAAGCAGATGTAGCTGCATGGCTATTTTTATGTTGCTATGAAGTCACTCTCTCATATTTCGTCCTGGGTTGCCTGACAGATGACAGCATCTATAGTAGAGAAAGTATCCACTTGATATGTCATATCCAGCCAGTAATCAACCACAAGCAAGATGGTCATTAGTTCTGGGGATGGTATTACACAGGAATATTCGTTGTTCAGTATTCTGATCTTGACCAAAAAGTTTCCTTTTAATCATTTCAGAAATTGTGAATCATTTGAAGTTTATCCATGGAAAAAGAGATATTAGCAAATAGGGAGAAAGAAAGGACTGTCTTTGCTAGATGCCAAGTTCAGGCCTGATATATGTGATTATTTTTCTCTTCACAGATAACTGTTCTAAAGCTTAAATAGCATCTTATGTTTCAATTGCTGTGAAGTGACCCTGATGACCAAGGCAATTTATAGCAGAAAAGTTTATTGGGGACTTAAAGTCCCAGAGAGTTAGTCCATGACTATGATGGCAGAAAGCATGTCAGCAGGCAGGCCTGGTGCTGGAGCAGTACCTGAGAGCTTACATCCTTTCCACAGGCAGAAGGTAGAGAGAGAAAACTAACCACCAGTGTCACACCTCCTCAAATAAAACCACGTCTCCTAATCCTTCCCATACAGCCCATAAATTGGGGGCCAAGCATTTGAATATATGAGCCTAGATGACCCATTCTCATCCAAACCACCAAAGGTTATATATAAATAGTGAGTGGATGGAAAAGTCATTTTAAGAACCACACACTGTTTCTGTGGGTATCCCCAAACTGGTCTTGACATCTTTGCTCAGGGTATTGCTTCTTTCTCTCTTCAACTGGTCTTGACCCAATGCTTAGCTGTCATCTTTGCATCTGCTTCCATCACTTACTAGATGAAGATCCTATGATGATAATACAGGTAGTCATCAATCTGATTACAGGGGAAGGCCAGTTCAGGCACCTTCTCCATTAATGCTTAGGGTCTTAGCTGGGTCATCCTTTGTGGATTCCTAGAAATTTTCCTAGCCAGGCACTTACAGGACCAAACTAGGCCCTCTGAAGACAGTAGTGAGGCTTGGGCTGTCTTTGGGGCCACTGGCAATGGGACCAGAATTTATCCCTAGTGCTTGAACTGGCTTTTTGGAGCTCATTTTCTTTGGAGGGATACCTTGCTCAGCCTAGATACAGGTGGGAGGGCCTTGGTTCTGCCTCAGAGTGATGTGCCAGAGTTTGTTGACTCCTCATGGGAAGCCTTACCCTCTTTTCAGAGTGGATTATGGGTGGGGTGGGGGGAAGAAGTGGGTAGCAGAAGGAGGGGAGGAAGTGGGAACTGGGATTGGTGTGTAAAATGAGAAAAGATTGTTTTTAAAATTAAAAAAATGATAAAAACGAACCACACATTTTCCACAAAACATACCCCCCCCAACAGTGACACATAGTCCCCTTTGTACTTGTTTGTTTATTAACACAATATATACTTACTGGAGGCTCCTTGCTTATAAGTTATAAGCATTGGAAATAAGTAAGTAAAACAGAAAAATTCATTATTGAAAGACAATTAGGGAAGGGAAAGGTTGAATATCAGAGTTGGGAATAACAATGGCTTCATTCATCCTCATACATTCATCAAGAGGGACTGGCCAATAAAGTAAACTTCGAACAGAGGCCTGTAGGAATTGAGAGAAGGCAGTCAGCAGATACCTGGAAGAGGTTTCTAAGGCTGAGGGCATGTGATTAAGTTCAAAAATCGGCTCAGCAGATGCTGTGCCCTAGGCTAGGGGAGCAGGGAGAAGGCTGAGGATGGGTCACAGACATCAGAAGAGGTGAAAAACAGATCAAATTGTGAAAATAAAGTCAGGCTGTATAATCAGGTTGATGGTTAGATTATGAAATAAGGGAATTTTGTTTTTTTGGCAGGGGGTTAAAGGATGGGTTTGCCCAGCAGAAGCTTGTATTTTATATCTAACTTGAAATGTCAAAGAACATTCTTTACTCGGTAGAAAGTTCAAAGTATTCTATTAATACCAATCAGTAAAACTTGCTTTCATTTCAGAGGATAGGCTATGGAAACTCATTAGTTTCCGTAGTATGTTTCTGTTACAGTAGCCTTAATCAGGGCTCTGATGAGGCCATTAAGGGAATGCTGTTTCCATCTAGTCAAGAGAATGGGGACTTCCTCTGGCTTGTGGGGGAGCACCTAGTAGTCTAAAATAAGCAACAGGTAAGAGGTAACTCAGTGGGGCCAGTAAATCACCTAGTTAAGGAACTACCACCCAAGGAGTCAGGTTCAGTTCATGCCGTGCTAAGAGATAGGAGGGAAACTTACCCTCTTAATGATATCCTGTACTTTAACTGCAAGAATCATTGTTCTCTGTGCAGTTGCTGCAGAGCCACTCTGAAACTCTGTTAGGTTTAAGTCCTGATTCACAAAGGTGCAACTTTTCCTTTCTCTTCTTATTCTTTTGGATATGGGACAGGGTCTAAGTTAGTGTTTTCAAGTACTTTGTGGTTTTCACTCTTTCTCCTAAGCTACATCCCTTTTGCCACATGGTTGCTTGCTGAACCTCCATTCCTAACCCCCAAAGTCTTGGCTTTCCTGCTTCCTCTTTTCCATCTCCCTCCTCCAGATAGCTAGGAAAGTTTACAGCTAGGGTGCTATGTGGTTTTTCTTTTAAGCACTTATA